AAAAAAACCTAATTATTATTTTTGAAAATATAACCGTGTGAATATTTAAGGGAGAAACTTTTAAAGGATATAATTTTGTAACATTTTGACAAATGTTTTTTCCATATTTTAAACCTATTTCTTTAATTGTACTTTTTTCATTATATTTTTGTTCACATAAATTTATTAGTATAATATTTAAAAAATATGGCCCAAAGCAAAGGATTTATTAGCTTTACCAGTGAGCCGGTACTAGTTTGACTAACTTTAATAATTAATTTGTTTTTCTTATGCTGGCTACCTATTACTTTATTTTAAAATAAAAAAAAAGAAAAATATAATTATCATGTTACATTACACAAGTTATATATTGTTGTAGGAACAAAGTTGCTGAGATCCACTATTTAATTTATTTTTTATTTAAACAGTAGACTTCACCAACTTTATCTCTATAAGATGATGTAATTTTTATCATATAATATGATCACATACAATACCTTATTTTATACAGCAACAAGCGGCGCCTACAATAGCCGAACGTAGCAAAATGTCATGAAACAATTATTTGACCGGCAACAACCAAGTACTGAAAAAGTACGTTCTAGTATTCAAAAGAAAGAAAAAAAATAAAAGTACGTTCTGAATGATGTAATATTCTTAATAACATTTTTGGCCTTAAGTAGCACAAAATGAATGCCTCTCCTACTATCATAAAATCAGATAACGATGAACAAAAATGGGTTGGTCATGACTCACCAAGATCTGTGTTTTTTTTTTTCTTTAGTAAATTCAATTTTTGATTGATCGTGTAGGAGTTTTTTTTTTTCTCTCACTATTATTTACTTATATTTTGTTGCCACATTATTAATAGCTTTTGATAGAAGTATCTCTCCAGCTGGACTCAATCCGCTTATGAAGGGATTGGATTATGTTAAACTCATAAATTTTTATCTATACTTAAGAAAAAAGTCACTTGTTAAAATAAAATACTAAAATATAAATTTAAAAATTCATTTCACAATAACTCTAATTGAAATCAATATAAGTTTCAAACAAACTAATAATTAAAATAAGGAAAATACATTTCTTATGTTGCATAAGACTTAAAAAAGTGGATGAGACCCGTTAAGGGTGTGCATGACAACCATTCCGTTCCCTAGTACTGTTTCTGAAAAGAAACAATTTTTTTCTATTTCTGTTCCTTGGAACAATTTCTGAGAAAAAAAATGTGTTTGATAAGATGTTCTATTTTTATTCCGAGAATGAGAATTACGTTTGATAACATAACAAATAATATAATAAAAAATAATTCCTATTAAATGTAAAAAAAATTTGGATCATCCCTTTCCTTTCCATATGATGTGGTTGTGGTGGTGGCGACGGCGAGGGGTGGCATGGTGGTGGTGGTGGTGGCGGCGGCGGTACGGCGGTGGTGGCATGGTGATGATAGTGGTGGTGGTGGCAGTGGCTGCGGCGGTGGCGGTGGTGGTAAGTTATAATGGTGGTGGTGGTGGTGACGGTAGTGACTGTGACGATGGTGGTGGTGGTGACGGTAGTGGCTGTGACGATGGTGGTGGTGGTTGGTGGCGGTGGCGGTGTCGGTGGTGGCTGCAACAATGATAGTGGTGGTGATGGTAGCGGTGGCGTTGTGGTGGTGGTAGTGGTGGCGTGGCGATGGTGGTGGTGGTAGTCGTGTGGTGATGACGATGATGGCGGTGGCGGCAATGATTGCGATGGTGGTGGTGGTGGTTGATGGCGGTAGAGGTGGTGGTGGTGGTGACGATGATGATGATAGTGGTGGTGGTAGTTGTGGTGGTGGTGATGGTGGCATGGTGGTAGTGATGGGTGAAGGTGGTGGTGATGGTGGCGGTGGCATCGTAGTGGTGGGGGGTGGTCATGACAGCACTAATGGTACGACGGCGGCAACGACGATGATGGCAGTGGTCGTGTTGGGAAGATGGTGGTGGTGGTGGTGATGGAATAGATGGAGAGTAATTAAGAGAGATAAGTGTTTCTCATTTTGTGCCCGAGAACAAAAAAACAGAAATTTTTTGATTCTTTTTTCTGTTCCCCAGCATAAAAATTAATCCGGTTCATCCCGGGAACAAAAAAATAAACCGGTTTTACCAAACGAGTTTTCTATCCATTTCTGTTCCTGGGAACAGAAATTAAAAAAAAATGATTCCGGGAAGGTTGTCATGCGCACCCTAAGTAGAAGAAAAAGAAAAAAATGAGTCTCACCCACTTATGTGTATATATGAGATAATTATTTCATGTAATATGATAAATATATTTTCCTTAAAATAACATAATGAATCTTTAAAAAACATAAGTCTGTCTATAAAAAAAAAACATAAGTCTAAAAAATCAATAACTAAAATAATATAACAATTTTTAAATAAGCATAAATCTTAAATGGATCAAGATAGCAAAACAAGTTCCAACAATTATAAACACTAATTCACAAACAATTTGAAAACATGTCATCACAAATAGCATATAGACTAATGTAATATTAACTCTATTATTATTATTTTTCAAAAAAATAATTATTTAAGTGATCTCTCAATTTTGTTCGTAAGAATAGTCTACAAAATGCTTTATTAATTTCTCATATTTGTTTTCTTAAGTCACATTCTTAACATGATCACAATGTTTAAACTTAATTTTTTTTGTAATGATGTTTAAACTTAATTAGTTACATACAAAAAATGATTTGGAAAGCATGATTCTAAAAATATAAAATAAAAGATTATTTGTGTTAACTCAACCCAATAGACATATTAAAAATTGATTTTTGAAATAATAATTTTTATAATCAAAACTCGTTGTTACACTTAATTGATTAAATAATTCTAATGCTATTTGGTATGAAGGTTTTCGTACAAAGTTATTACGAGTATATAATCATCGTTAATAGAGAGAGAAAAACTTGGAAAGTAAATAAATAACTGATAAAGATGTAACAATTTTTCCCCCCCTGTTCATAAGTCGTTTCATGAAAACTGATTCGCATCATTTTAATTTTTTATTAAATAATCATAATTTTGTATGTAGTTACAGTTAATGTTACTTGTTACCACCCACCTGAAATCATGGGGATGCAACTGCAAAGTAACTAAGACATTCATTAGCAAATTTTGATTTGCCACCTTGGAGGGTGGAAAAAAAACAAAGGAACCAAAAAGGTTTAACGATAGGTAACACTTCTTATTCTCAATACAATGATTCGTTAGCACATGGCTTGCATGACCGTTAAAAAAGAGATAACAACCGCTACTTGCTAGTTGCTAGATAAAAGCGTGGTGTAAAACCCCATGAACATGCTTTGAGAAAAAGAAAGAATTGGATTCATAAGCATTTTGCACGCGCTTCTATGAAGATTCCTTCGGCTGTAAGATTTAGTCAAAATAATGCACTTTTTTTTTTTAAAAGTCAGCCAGTCACTATCCAAGCGAAAGTCGCAGCACAGTTCGGAACCTATAGAATATATTGATGTTGGCCAACCTCTCTTTGACGATGCTAAGGGAGCAGTGGTTAATTTTTCAATGGCGTAAAGTTGCTCAGATTGAAATTAACTAATAATGCCTTTTGGTCCATTATATTGATATGCCTTCGCTTTCATTAATTAGAGTCATTAGACCGATCTTCTACAAGTGGATTGATTTCTCGCACTTTATTCACTTTCATCCGTTTTGGCGGGACCGTTATGAATTTATACATGGCGCCATAACAACGACGCTTTTCCCTGTTCCCCATAAGTGGCTGTGACCTGGGAGTGTTAGGTAAAGTGCACAGTGGAAGCAATGTTTTGGACCTTTTGGTTTAGGGTTGAATGTGACCATTATGCTGTTGTCATAACTGGCCTTTTCTTTTTGCCATAGTTATCTCTCTCTCTCAGTTATTTTTAATTAGCTCACCTTATCATACCGTTAATGGAGGATTACAATATTCAAATGGAATCTTTTTCCCATAGGTGGCAAGTAGGCAACAACCTTTTGAATCAACATTCAGTTGACATTTGTCTCCAATTTTATGTGTATGTAATTCCGATAAAAAAAAGTTGTATCTATTAATTACGTGCTGTATCAGACCGTGGTAGCTCAGTCATAGCAAAAGAGTTTAGTAAGTGAAAATGGAAAAGACTCGGTTCAATTTTCATATGTTATCTGACGCACTCTTGATTAGTCTCATAACCGGCTTAAAGAATTAAAACTTACACGAATACCGGGAGAGTCAACTCGCCTCAAAAAATTAATTAGAGTTGAATTAACTAAAAAAAATTATGTGTTGTAATCAAAAAATTCTTGATTAAAAAAGAAATACAGAAAATTTAAATTTAATTATTTTCGCACTACAATAGCGACCACCTTATGTACCAAAGAAAATAAATAAAAAAATAGCTACAACCAAAATCATCTTGTCACACCCTGTCATGGAAAAGGATAACACTAACTGAGAACAAAAGTGAGACAATTAATTGTTTTTCTCCCCTATAGTGTAATTGTAGTCCACTCCGAACCAAAGCAAGGAGCAATCATTTTCTATTCCAAATGCAGGGCATAATTGTAATAAATTATAAATTTCCCGTAAGCTTGAGACTGTCATTGTTTCACTTCATGCTTTGCTTAAATTTCTTCGTTTTGGTAGCATAGCAGCACTGCTCCAATTATTCGTATAAAAAGACAAAGTATAAAGCTTGCAATGATACAAAGACGACAGGATGATTCCAATCTATTTGCATAATCAGCTCAAACTCAAGGTTGTTTGTGTCCCACAATATGCATATATAATGATGTGTTTAGACACGTTTCTTTAACTAACAAATCATATTTGGAAGCCTTTTATGCAATTTGCTTTGACCATAGATTGAACTAGAAGAAGTGATATACAGTTTAGACTTTAGACAAAAGAAAAACCAGTTGGGCTTGAGATCAGGTTATTTGGGCTTTACAAGGCCCATGTGAGAGAGGATTGATCATCATTCTCCATGTCGTGTCTCGCAAGCATAACTTAGAACCATGCTTGGCGCTCCAAGACGTGTTGTTGGATTCATTCCTCGGAGGCTACGATCACTGCGGCAACTTCATGGGAATGGGGACGACGAAGAGCGTTTACATTTTTACAAGAGCAGAGGCCAACACATTCTCATCAACCCTCGAATTCTCGACACCATTGTTCGGGAATCCGCAATAAACCCCACCGACACTGTCCTCGAGATTGGACCCGGCACTGGCAACCTCACCCTCAAGCTTCTAGAGACAGCCAACAAGGTTGTAGCCATCGAGATCGACGACCGCATGGTTAATGTTCTCGAGATGCGCGCCCTACGGAGTGGCCTACGTGGTAAGCTCAGTGTAAGTGTTACGTGACTATTACGTGTTTGATGAAATGCCTACCAAAGCCAAAGCCGAAAGACGCATTACATTACATTACATTATATATGCTTTTTATTTTGGCTTTGCAGGTCATAAAAAAAGATGCATTGAGAACGAAGTTCCCGCAGTTTGATCTGGTGGTTGCCAACATTCCTTATGGGATATCTTCCCCTCTGGTGATTAAATTGTTGTATGGGTCAACCCCATTTCGGAGTGCCACTCTTCTGCTGCAGAAAGAGTTCGCTCGAAGGTTATTGGCTAAACCCGGTGATTCAGAGTTTAACCGCTTGGCCGTGAATGTTAAGCTTTTGGCTAACGTGGAGTTAGTCATGGATGTCAGCAAGAGGGACTTTCTCCCGAGCCCAAAAGTTGACTCTTCTGTCGTCATAATCCGCCCCAAGTTTCAGGTTCCCAATGTGGATCTCCATCAGTGGAGGGCTTTCACAAGAACTTGTTTTAGTAACAAGAACAAGACACTTGGGGCCTCGTTTAAGCAAAAGAGGAGAGTTTTCGAGTTATTCAAAATCTCCAATTTCTCTGGTTCCGTCCAAGAAGATGATGGCAGCACCGATGCTCAAGATAAAGAAGGAGAGTATCAGTTTTCTGCTTCTTTTGAAGCAGGGATGACCTCGTTCAAGGAGAAGATAATTGGAGTACTTAGAACTGGAGGGTTTGAAGACAAAAGGCCTTCAAAACTTTCTCTCGAGGAATTACTGCATTTGCTCTCTTTGTTCAATCAAGCTGGCATATATTTCGGTCACCGTGGAAAGCTCAGGAATGAAGATAATTTTGAGGTTGATGATGACTAGTGCACCCATTTGCCTACCAAACTCAAGATACTATCAACCACTTTGTGTACATCGTCATCATTGGTATGTTTTTTCACTTCCTTGCTTTTGCAGCTGACGCAATATCAAGAATGAAATCCTTTCATAAAAAGTTTCGTGTAATATTGAATGAAAGCAAATTTAATTTGATAATATATAGAAAAGATCCACCCTGTTGCTTGCATTGACTAAAGCCGGAAACTGCACATCAAACTCATGGTACTAAGTTGATAGTTAAAATGGCAGTGGTTGTTTCCAAATTGCAATATGCTAGAAGCAAATAAAAGACTCATTAGGTTTTGCATCGGATACAATTGAAGTTTTTATAGCACCAGATGTTATTAACTTATGGCTTCCTATTACTAAAAAGTACGGTTGTACCTATACAATTTATAGTGATAGAAGATCAAAATATGCATGATACTTTTCTAGTTTAAATATTTTTATAGTTATTTGTATGTTGCATACTGTTGATAATTTAAATGATTCCTATTCTCGAACTTGATTACCCTATATGCATGCATGGCTGAGTTTACCTTTCATACCAACTATTGTTATGCCCTCTTTGTTTTATTATCACAGCATATTTTGCATATTTAGTTAATAAATAGACTTGTATGTAAGATGGTTAAGATCACTCTTCTTTATTAATCTATTGCTACTGAAGAAAATGTTAGGATTAGCATGCAATGTTGAGGTTCCACCACTCGAAATCCTAGTTTGTATTATTGATGGTTGAAAAAGCTATTGTCAATCCATTATGCTTTTTTTATTTGATCCAGTAATTACAATACATTGGTATGGATTGGCCAACTTAGTTTTTTTCTGAGTTAACAAGCATATATACATTATTGTATTAGAAAGAAAGCAAATGTTAAAAAAATCAACTTTCTAGTAGTTGTTACCAATGAATTTGCTCTAGCATATGTTTTCAATACCTAAATTGACTTAAATTGAAGAGTAGTAGAATAAAAACTATTCACGAAAATAACATCATGAGATATTTCACAGTTTGAGAGCTTTCTTTTTTAAAACGTTCAACACAATTTGAAAATTGTAAAGAAAGATAAACTACTAACTCCTATTCCCTTTGTGTGTACCTAGAATTCTACTCAATTTTCAAATTAGTTGTTCTGATTTTAAACTTTACTAGATTCATAAATTAAGTAGCATTTATATATTTTGGGCTGAACCCATCGGGCTAAGGTTGAGGCCCACAAATCTCAGCATTTCTCAGTTCCCTGTACCCGGTCACCTGCTCCATCCCAGAGGTTTGAAGTTACACACATTACTTCGTCATCCTCTGTTGCTGAAGTTACACATACTATTCATGTACATTTGTAACTTGTGATAATGTTATGTTGGGTTGAACATGAAATGCTGTGCTAGTGGAAGCTGATGTTTCTATTGGTGAAGAGTCAGTTATTTGCTATTGAATTTCAAAAGTACTCCATTTTATTCAAGTTTGAAGCCATAACCACAGCATATAAATTCAAACTTGATTACAGAGGGATCGCACCTATGTACACGTTTAAAGGTGTTTATTTCAATATTTAGGAATTGCTTTCAACATAATTATGGATTACGGTATTACACAGCCCTGTCAATCTCCTTGGGATATTTTTTGTTTACAACTACACGATTTACTGTGGCTCTATGGGGTTAATTGTGGCCATTTTTATGTCAGGGATTATGCGTTAGTATAGCTTATATATTCAAAAAAAGTTTAGTGCTATGTATTCAAATTGATTTTTTGTTCTTTAAATTAGAAACTTTTCTGTAGCATTAGTCCAAATAGTACTAGTAAACCTTCTGGCAATCGGTTTTAGATCAAGCAAACCGGGTTATGTCTGATATTACTTTGAGAATAGTTTTCCACCTGAGATAAATTCATGTTCAGCGTATGTTTGGTATCGGGTATCCATGAATTTTTCACCTTCTCTTTTAATCCCGTATCAAACTCATGCCCCAATGTGCCCCGGTTTCTGCACTTACAGTCAGAAAAAAAGGGAGAGCTCAGCTGCTAGAGGCTAAACAGAAGAGAAATATTGAGGGAACTAGCATGGGCAGAAAGACTGGCAGAGTTGCAGCAACTGGAGAAATAGAAGAAAATGTCTTGAATTTGGTTTTGGGGACTCATCTACAATTGGTAACAATAGTTTATTTTTTTATTTTTTCAATTCCTGTTATTTTAACTCAACTTCTATACCGTATGTTCTATGCTATCGGTTACTGGTGACCTTGTGGCCCATTTTTCCCCCAATAAACGTAAGTATGAGACTCCACCTTGCTCTCTGTCAATACCCCCTTATAAAAAGAAAAAGTTAAGAATATCTGTCTGTGTCAGCAGATCGCTCTGCTTAGTAATAATACTAACAAATCTAACATTTCATGGGAGTGACTTTTCTTGGTCAAACCAAATTGTGGTTTTTTTTTTTTTGAAAACCACCAATTATGGCTTTAGATATATTCAAATGCAGGTTACAAGTAGTTAAGGACCGAGCCCCTAACTGTCTCCCCATCAGCCTGGGTTCAAAACTCCTTGAAGTCCGTTAGAACTTAGAAGTCCTTGTTGATGGACAATTCTCCCTAGGGAGATCCTCTCAGGCAAGGTTCTTAAAAGTAAGATTTTATGGGATAAAAGATCGTAAAATGTAAAATCGTAATATAAAAAAAAAATATAAAAGTGCTAGAAATATTGGTAAAAATGTTTTGATGGAAAAAAATTGTAAAAATATAAAAATGTAATGATAAATCAAAATTTTGGCCTTAGGTCTAGCTGAGTAGTCTCATTGGAGAAAACAAAGTTGCAAGCATCATTTGGGTGGGCCTGGGCCTCTATCAATCCTTCGAGATCATAGCATGCCACTGACACCATGCCCGATAATATTGGGGATACGGGATACCTCCCTTACTACCACTTTTATTCATAAAAAATAAAACTATCTACGTGAATAAATAGTCTTTCTTTCCATGTTTCTAATCATCTTTCCCAAGCTCTAGGCTCTGTGGCCTGTTGGACCTATACTAATACCATATTTGACTTTGGTCTCCCCTTCGATGACTTAGAAGTAGGAATAGGTTAACTCTTTTAGTAAATAGGCTAGGTCGAGGCTTTAAATCTTTGAAAAAGCTTTTAGGGGGCGTTTGGTTGAATTTTTTTTTTTTGAAATAGTAGGGAAATGTAATAGATAGAGAAATGATTGGAAAGTGAGATACGTAGAAAAATGTAAGTTGTTTGGTGGGGAAAAACTTTACTGAGAAAATTAGGTAACTTTTATGAAATCAACAGTGCATTAAAAGTGAGATAACCGGTTTTCCAAAAAATTTCACCTTCAAACTGGGTTTCTAAACAGTGCGGATATCTAAGTTTATCATAAATTCATAAATTGGATAGATGAGTTTTTGGTGAAAATATGTTGAAACAAACATGGTGTTTCTAAAAGTCATATTTGAGAAACATAGATATCTCTTGAAAAGCTCCAAACCAAACACTACCTTAATGGTTTAATTGGGAATGGATTAGGATTTCTGTCATTCATATGCAAATCAATAGTAATAGAAATTGCATAAAAATTAAGGGAAAAAAAAACCATTAATTTGTGTTTGAAAGGTTAAAATCCTGTACATGACTTTATGTCACATGAGTGTTATATATATATATATATATAAATATATATATGGTAAAATTATTTCTGCAACCGTTTTACGTACAATAACGACAGGTATATGGTTATGATTCTTCACATTTAATGCTTTCATCCTTTGTATGGTTATGATTCCCCGCATTTAATGCTTTCAAGTATATATATGACAAGTATTTGATTGCTGCACGTACAGCAGCTGCAGAAATGTAAATATATATATATATATAGACACACACACACAAAGGTCTAACCTATTAGTCCGCTAGTTTACTTATTTAGAAGAAGGGTTGTAATTTATGAATTTATTGCACTGAGTCGCGCCCCACATAGGCGCAACCTGTGCAAAGTCGCGCCCCACACAGGCGCGACCGGTCGCTCCCCACACAGGCGCGACCGGTCGCTCCCCACACAGGCGCGACCGGTCGCTCCCCATCCAGGTGCGTCTTTGCACCATTCACCCACTGGCACAAAAGTTAATATTTTGACCGTAAAACTTCAGAATCGTAACTTTTGACTCGGGTGTCCGAGTCAGATGATTTTTTTTATTTCACATAATTTTTTGAGATCTCCGCAATGACATCTCATTGTAGGGGATCCGAACAAAAAATTTTCCAATTTTTTTTTTTGAATTTAAGATATTTTACTGTAAAACTTCGGAAGGCCATAACTGTTGACTCGGATGTGCGAATCAGGTATTTTTTTCTGTTCCACATAACTTTTTGAGAGCTACGCGTGGCAAATTCGAAAAAGGGATTAGGTCAAATAAATTTCCCAAAAAATAGGACCACATTATATTATACTATCGTTATTTCAAAATTCTTTTTTAAAAAACTACATATTGCGGACACCCGAGTAATAGTCCACGTAATAGATTACATGAGTTCAATCTTCCCACATAACTTTTTTGATTATATGAAATAAAAAAAAGAGAACTTAATTCGGACATTTGAGTTAAAAGTCATGGCTTTTCGAAGTTTTACAGTAAAATATCTTAAATTCAAAAAAAAAATTGGAATAGTTTTTGTCCGAATCCCCTATAATAAGATGTCATTGCGTAGATCTCGAAAAATTATGTGGAATAAAAAAAGTACGTGATTCGGATACCCGAGTCAAAAGTTACAGTTTTTCTAAGTTTTATGGTCAAAATATTAACTTTTGTGCCACGTGTCAGTGTATGAATGGTGCAAAGGCATGCCTGGATAGAGCGCGACCGGTCGCGCCTGCGTGGGGCGCGACTTTGCATAGATTGCACTTGTGTGGGGCTCGTCCTTGCACATAAGTCATGCCTACCTGGGACGCGACCGATTGCTATAGATTCGTAAATTGGTTTGAAACTACTATGTTCTTGTAGTTTTTTATTTAAATAATAATACATTATTATCATTATTTTGCCTGAAATAGGCATTTAAATGAGTGTTCAGGTCATATTTGGCTTTTTCAAAACGTCAGATCAAACTTAAAAAACCCTTATATTAGCTTACATGTTAAGTTCAAGTCTTATATTTATAAAACAGGTGAAATTTATTTAAGACAGTGACTGAAATAACCCAATTTAATCTGTTTTCGCCCTCATCAACGACCCTACAAAAATGTGATGAATACTCAACATTACAATGCTATATAACACGTGTAAAAAGAAGAACAAATTACAAATTTATAATGATTATATTGGGCAAGTATTGATAATTTCTATGATAAGTATTGCTGACCATACAAAACCTTCCCTTTCTTAGTGAATTCGTAGCCTGTTGCCTGTAAACATGAAGCTTGAAATTTTCCATGTTCTTTACTTGTATGTTTGGATAGAGGGGCCTGATTAAAAGGAGGAAGAATTTAAGATTTATTTTTTCGTTTAAATTAACAGAGTTATGAAATATTTATAAAAATAAATAAAGAATTACTGAAAGCTTACATGATAATATTTAAAAAAAGAAATCAAATTAAAATTTATAAAGATTGAACTTCTCTTTTCTTTTTCCCAAATTTCTCCATTAAAAAATAGAGGGTTCGGGGCATCTTTAGTTTAAAGAAATTTTTTTTTTTGTATTTTCTATTTTTAATAATAATTACAACAATATCATCTTGTTTTTACTTTGTTTTTTATTTTGAAATATTTGGATATTGTTTTCGATAATCCTATAAAATTATTTGAAAAAATAAAATAAAATGAAAATAAGAAGAATTTTTTAATTATTAATAAAAAAAATTATTTTCTTAATCTAAAGAGAGTCCTTGTTGCATGGAAAAAGTATATCTTAAAAAGTAATTGAAAGTGATGATGATTGAACAATTGAACTGACCTGAGACGGTTGTAGTTCTAATGGCCGGAATCTAATATGGTGGTGGTCTTTTCATGCAATGTTAATTGTTAAAAAGGTCACCAACCTCACTGTCACGACTGTGAACCTAAACCTAAGGTTTGATCCAATGTTTGGTTACGTTCATTCTAGTTGACATAAAAAATATAAAAAGATGATTTTTACCAAAATAAGCGGTATAATATTTTGTCATAACACATTGTGCGGTTTTCCCTTTCACTGCCTTAAGTTTGTTTACATAATACATAGGATTTTGAACGTTGAAATTCCACGGGAAAAAAAAAGAAAAAAACAAGAAACGCTGGCAATTAGCAAACACAACTATTCTCGTGGCTAAATTACATTTGGTTCATATAGACTAATTTTAATGCATTAATTTAAAAAAACTAAAATTTACATTTTAATCAAATTTTAGAATTATTTAACCACTTGAATATTAAAACATATTACAATTGATTTTATCTTTTCCCAAAATGGCAAAAAAAATTCAAGAAGTATTGAAACTTTTGTTCTAAAGCTTACTAATAAATGAAAGTGTTTTATGGATAAACAAATAAAAAATAAAAATTTCACTGAGAAGTGCTACAAAATTTTGTCCTAAACAATAGAACCAGGCTAAAACAAATTTTATCCTTTAAGAAAAATAAATAAATAATGTGCCCTATTGATACGTGAAATCTTGGGTTGAAAAACATTGCAGGCTTGTTATATTTTTAACGTCGAGTGTGTCGAGGAAACAGCAAGTGTATACGTGTATGTTTCGATAGTATAATTCATAAATAAAGTCCATTTTGGGTGCCTAACAAAAAACAAGCTCCGTAATTTAGTCCTTCAAGAAAAAAAATTAGTTGTCTGGTCTCTATAAAATTCAAAGTGTACTCATTTTAATCTTTTTGAGGGGCTAATGTGAGTCTTTTTTTAATTTATGAGGAATCACGATTTCAACTAAATGGGTTCACTCTGAGGATGTGCATGACAATCATTCTGTTCCCTGACACTGTTTCTGAAAAGAAACAATTCTTTTCTATTTCTGTGCCTTGAAACAATTTCTGAGAAAAAAAATGTGTTTGATAACAAATTTTATTTTTATTCTAAGAATGAGAATTGAGTTTGATAACACAACAAATAATATAATAAAAAAATCTTATTAAGCATAATTTTTTTTTTGCTCATCACTTTCCTTTCCATATGGCAGCGGTGGTGGCGGCGACGACGGTGGTGATGGTGGTGGCCGCAGTGGTGGTACTGACGACACTGGCTGCGACGATGGTGATGGTAATGGTGGTGGCAGTGGCGGACCTAGAAATTTTGTTTAATGTCTAGACACTTAGGACGGGTGTTTGCCCCCGAAGATTTTTTTTAAAGAAAATTTTAAATGTATTAAAAAAATATAAACAAGAAAAGAAAACTTTAACTTAACATAAAAAAAATAATCAAGAGTCAACTAAGCTGTTACAATAGAACGATCACAAAAGCATTCTTCGATTCTTCGTTCCTTGAAAAGTAAAGCTTTGTAGAAATAATCGATAATGATAATTAAAAACAAATAAACACCACAAAAAGACATTTATAAAATATAGTATAATTGTAGGGGTTAATTGATCAAAAACCCACCTCTGTGGATGTCTATTTGATCCAAAGTCGGTCACTTTTGCTTTACAAAAAAAACGTGAAAAATCTCGTGCAATTCTTCTCCACTTGATAAAGATTAAATTTCAGGAATCATTGATATCTATTAAGATTTGGAGCTAAGAAGGTTTACGTTTCAAAAAAAGAATAAGAGACAAAACAATGGGGTATAGTTTAAGCTTTAAGTTTTTAATTATGGGGGTTGTTGGGTTGAGCCCATGTTAGTTAAAATCCCGATTTAAATTTGTGATTTTACGACTTTTTTTAATCAAAACGATTTCATCAAAATTCCAAACACTTTTACGATTTTATGATTTTTTACGATTTTTTTATGTTAAGATTTTATGTTTTACGATTTTTTATCCTACTTCCGATTTTAGGTAAGATCCCAATTTTAACTACCAAGGTTAGGTCTATGTTTACTTTTTTCTTTTCAATCTTCATAATTTTTTTTTTACTTGACCTAAATTACCTGCTCCTTTGAAAAAAAAATCTCAAATTTTTGTGTCTGCAAGTGCAGACACATGCAGAAACGTACGTCCGCCACTGAGTGGTGGTAATGGCGGCGGCGGTGGTAGTGGTTGTGGTGGCGGTGATGTGGTAGTGGTGGTGACGACAGTGGCTGCGGAGATGATGGTGGTGGTTGGTGACGGTGGCGTGGTGGCGATGACGTGGTGATGGCATGGTGGGGCGTGATGGTGATAATGGTGGCGATGGTGGCGGCGACAGTGGTGGTGGTGGTGGTAGTGACGACAATGACTGCAGTGATGATGAGGGTGGTGGTAGTGGCGGTGGTGGTGGTGGTGATGGAAGTAACTGTGACAATGGTGGTGTTGGTGGTGACGTGGTAGTGGTGGCATGGTGGTGTTGGTGATGGCATGGTGGTGGTGGTGACAGCATGATGCAGTAACTACAAGGACACAGGAAGCAATGGCTGTAGCAGATAATAGACCACAAAGGTAGTGGTGGCATGGTAGTGTTGGTGATGGCGTGATGGTGGTGGAGGTGGTGACAATAGTGGCTGCAACGATGGTGGTGGTGGTTGGTGACGGTGGCGTGGTGGCAGTGGCATGTGGTGATGTCATGGTGGTGGTGGTGGTGATGGTGATGATGACAGTGACTGCAGCTATGATAGTGGTGGTTGGTGACGGTGGTGGAAGTGGTGGCGTCGTGGTGGTGGTAGTGGTGGCGGTGACAACAGTGGCTGCAATGGTGGTGGTGGTTGGTGATGGTGACGGTGATGGTAGTGGTGGTGGCAGCAGCGATGGTAATGGTGGTGATGACGGTGGCATGGTGGTGGAGATGGTGGCGATGACATCGTCGTCGTCGTGGTGGTGATGGTGGCGGTGGCATTGTGGTGGTGGTGGTGGTGACGAAGATATTGGTGGTACAACGGAGGCGTCGATGGTGGCAGTGGTCATGTTGGGATGATGGTGGTGTTGATGATGATAGTGGTGGAGAGTAATTGAGAGAAATAAGTGTTTCTCATTTTGTTCCCGGAAAAAAAAAAAAACAGAAATTTTGTGATTCTTTTTTCTATTCCCCAGCACAAAAATTAAACCGGTTCATAAATCGATTTTACCAAACGAGTTTTTATCCATTTTTGTTCTCGGGAATAGAAATTAAAAAAAAAATAATTCCGAAAACGTTAGTCATGCACATCCTGAATTTCTTAAGAATATTAGGACTAATTTTTTTCTTCTAAAAGATTAAATTAGAAATCGTATTTTTTATTAGAGAGCCAAAGGAAATTTACTCTATAATTTACTAAAATATAGGCAATAACAGTTCCCCGTGGTTAATGACAAAATACTGTCGGTTACCCCCACAAAGTTTTTCACTTGTGGTTACACTTTGCAATTTAGTCCTTTACGAATTTTACTTGTATATATGATTTTGAAACCGATGGATGTTGATTGCGGGATAGTGCTGCTGGTACAAGAGTTGTACCACGACTCCATTAATTGAGATAATAACAGAGGGTAGTGGAGCACGAGCTCATGTCATGGCATGGGACCAAAAATAACGTAAAACCCACATGGAGAACAAACCCACCACAAACTTAGCATTGGAATCAAACAGAAATAAATTAATGGATAGACACTGGATGTGAGAGCTAGCTTCAATCATCCCCACTTGCATTCAGTTTTTGAAAGATTGAAAGAGGGCCCAAAGGCACCTTTCTCCTCTGAAAATCGATGTGACACAATAACTAACAGCTGATAGATAGAGCTAACACAATAATAAAAGGCCACCTTATTGTCCTGTCTACTCAAAATTTACCCTCTAGGTTGACATGTAGATATATGTCTCTCTATTATACATCAGCACTAGAGTCGAATTTCTTGATGGTCTAATCCAATATTCCAATCAAGTGATAATGGGTTGCACAATAATTGGGAGCTTCCTCTTCATCTTTACTGTTGGAAAGTAGATTATTTCATCCCTCTCAGCGACCCATCTGCATGGTAGAAACCAATCACATACTAAAATCATAAAGCATCTTATAACAAAAATTCTTGTCAAGGCAGGATATTCTTACACCAAATTTTAATCATTGATTTACTTGCATCTAACTGCTTAAATATTTAATAAATCAGAACCGTTAGATATAAATAAGATCAACGATCAAGATTGAGAATGTAAATTAAAATGATCCTTACCCTTATTTATTTATATTACCTGTGAGTAGTAACAAGATGGTGAAGGAAGATAGAGAGCTCTAGCCTGGATAGTTCTAACCCAGGGCATAGTCTATGTCCACCACCAAATGGGGTAAAGCAGTTGTTACTAGCCACAGCTCCAATTTTCTACAAGCATAGAACATTAGAATGGTTGCTGTGATTATGAATTTCTTATATAAAACATGATTAGATACAGCTATAGAAGCTTACCTCCCATCTCCATGGATCAAAATCAAAAGGGTTTTCATAGTTTTTGCTGTCCAAGTGAACAGAGGTAAGAGATGCCATAACACACCAGTCCTTCGGAATTAGGTACCCTGCATATGCAGAATAGTAAAAGTGCATTAGTGTTTTATTTTTATGCATTGTTGAAGGCCAATACCGCTTCCTCTTCCTTGTGAAGAAATAATTACCTTTAATTTCTACGTCTTTGACAGCTTTCCTCCAAATGCCATTGACAATATTGGCCATTCTAAGAGTTTCATTGATGACCTTGTAGAAAGGAAATGAAAACAAAGTAATTAACGAAAGTGACATATTTTTTTTTATAAAGGAAAATTATAATTATTGGCAGCTGATTTAAAATTCGATGGCTAACGTTAGATACTCACACTTTGAGTAAATGGCAATGACATGTAATCAGTCCATGCATAACCATCTGAGCAATTAATGTTCTGCCTTTTCAATTCCATGTTCTCCTCCTGATAAGAAATAAAATGAATCAGATAAACAAAATATAAAACTATTGCTTGAACGTGGATTTAATTGACAAAATATTTGGGCCAATTTACTAACTTCAAATTTTCATTGCTTAGCTAAAGTGTCATATATACTTGTCAGTGTTGTGTGTGTGTGAGTGATTTTATCTTACAATGCTTTGATGGTGCCACTAAATAATACGTCGGCACGAAAGAAAATGAAAGAATTATTTTTTAATATTAAAATATCAATAATTTTATTTAAGTTTGTTGTCTCATCTTTCAAAGAAGTTATATATTTTTGGAGATATTCCAATCGATTTATCGCTTCGTGACTAATCCAATTCGAACTGGGTCCGGGATTATGATTTTAAACCCCCTCCCAAAGATGCTATTTGAGGAGGATCGAACAAATGCTCTCATCCAATAGCGGATCCAGGAAATTAATGAAGGGTGGGCACTTAATGTATAAGTTCAAGTACATATAGATCTGGGTCTAGTCTGGAACTTGACTTGCGAATAGCTGCCGGCTGATTGGGTCTGGTTTAGATCTAGATTTAGACGGATTGCGAATCAACTGGACCGACGATGGAGGAAGAAGTAAATGTTCCAACTTCCAATAACAGAAATTGAAGAGGTTTGAGAGGAGATAAATAGTATGTAGATGCAAACGACGAGTATGGGATAGAGTTCTCTGCTGTTACGTTTGGATAATGAAGGTGGATGAGGGAAAAAAAAAACTCAAAGAAAAATAAAATAGAAGGAGGAAAATTAAAGGGGTAGGATATCGTAACAACCAACTAGAGTTACTACCAATGTTACTACCAATCAATTTCATCGTTAGATCGATTATAACGGTTATATTTATTTCTATCTTTATATGGTTATGATCTCCATATTTAATGTAAAAGCATTAAATATGGGAAATCATAATCATACAAAGATAAAAATAAATATAATCGTTGAATCAACATAATCGATGTAACGGTGAAATTGATTGGTAGTAATATTGGTAATAATTCTAATTGGTTGTTATAATATCTTACCCCTAAATTAAATTGGGAAAATTTGAATTTTATGAGAAGAATATTTTTATATTTTTACATCATATTTTAAGGGTGGGCACTTGCCTCCCTTCTAATAAGCCTAGATCCGCCTCTGCTCTCATCCCTATTCCATGGCGCCAACTGACCTACTATCATTTGATCAAGAAGTTATTTTCACGACATAGTAATTATACCAAATTGTGAAAATTTTATTTTATTTTAAAATCTAAGTAGCAAAGTTTTAATACATTAATCACTTTGAATTTTTAAAAATATATTTAATTGTAATTAGTTGTTATAATAAAGATATTACGAACTGCAAAGAAACAGGCACAAGCAAGGGGAAAAAAAGAAAAAAAGAAGGAAGCAGCTGTTGTGGTAATGGGACAGGCAATGGTTGGTTCCTTCAGTGGCAGAAATATAATTGGTGAAGATATCTTTAGAGCCGTTCGTTGAGTTCAATCACATCTGTGTAGTAATCGTACGGCCAGGAAGCACTCACACCCCATGTGAGGCCTACACTCACTCGTGTGCGCTTTATATGCTTCTAACGAAAGCGACTCCCCAGAATAAGTCAAACACTTCTACGGCCTATCGAGGGCCCATACCACACACGGCCACGCCTCCTTGGGGCCCAAACCCAATGATCCATCAATCGCAACTACCAACCGTTGCCGTTCCGTTCGGTAAGTAAAATACAACGGCAACTGTTTCATTCATTCTCATTCTATCATGGAATAACTAAAATCAATAACACCACAAATTATTTATCAGAAGCCAAAAATTTCAAGAACTCTATAAAATGAGTACTTTTTCTCAAATTATTTACACAAAAATTACAATAATAAATTTTCTCAAGGGATTGCGTAAGATCTTTTAACATTTTGTTTAATACTCCAATCATGTAGCTAGGGTAATAAGTGCAAAGGTTGGTCTGGTGTTAAAAATGGAGTTTCTACAGTTTAATCTAATAAGTGAAAACGCACATTAGATTATGAGAATAATTTTTTTGCATATCGTAGAAGATAAATTTTATTTTCTATATACATATAAAAATATATGGGGTCTATGCTTTTTATTTTTTCTTTTCTCTTCACATAGTTCCACATGGACATCATACACTTTTATACGTATGTAGAAATAAAATTATCTTGTAATACGAGAAACATTAATCCCTTAAATTATAATCATAATCAAGTTTGCGAGATGATATATAGTCTATATTTATTTATTTACAATAATATCCATCATTATAAAAACATAATTGAACGTACCAAGAGCTTGGATAGAGCAAGAGGGTTGTCACTGAGGAACTTGATGGCCACGGTCATAGCCGTAGGAAGGGTCTCCTCCCCTGGAATCATCATCTCTATGATATTTTGGCTAATCATTTCCAATGTAAGGCTTGAGCTATAGTGTGAGTCACCCTTGTCCCGTAAGAGTACGTCCACTACATCTTTCACTTCATCATCATCTGCATTATTATCTATAAGTAATTTCTTCCTCTCTTCTACTATCCTCCTCACCATCTTCACCATCCTTTCCTTAGCCTACACGTACAATTCACACACAATTACGATCTTTAATTAATTATTAACTAATTAAATAATTTAAAAGCCACAAAATAAAATAGGAAAAGTGTTTATTAGGTGCTGTTATGAGAGATAAAATTATCTATTTTTAACACAAAATGATATCATTTTGAGTTTTGAGAGAAAAAAAAAACACCTAGTGTTTTCAAAATTTTATTTCTATCTTATAACAAGTATATTTCAAAAATGTCTTATCCTAAAATAAAGTCGTATTGGATTATTGGAGATAACTTTGAGAGACCCTAAATTCAATAATAATAATATACTGAGATATTTTGTGGACCTTTAAGGATTTATATAGTCTTGTTCCTGGAAACTTGAAGGGTAAGCAAATCAACCCTTTGACGAATTCTTCAAATTCTCTCTTCAGGAAGTCCAAATCTTCACCAGGGCCAACGCTCATCAGAACTTTAACCAAAATAGTAAATGTAATCTGATACATGAACCCAGTGGAAAAAGTTACATAAAAAAAATAGAGAGGAGAGAGAAAAAAGCTAATTAGGAAAAATGAAACAATTAAGAAAAAAAAAAAAAAAACTGGGAAAGAAATTAATGAAAAAGAGAGTGACCTTTTTGACTTGATCTTGAACGTAGATTGGTTGGTGGGTCCAAGAAGCGAAGCATTGTTTGACAGAGTGTTCAATGTCTCTGGTGATTCGAGCTTTGAGTTGTGGCGATCGCAAGAACCCTCCGATGAGTGCATGAACTTTCTTATGCATGTTGCCGTTCATTTGTAGTATAGAGTGTTCTCCCATTAATTCTCTAATTGATTTTGGATAAGCAGGGACGAAGATGTTCCCCTGATTATGCAGAACCACCTTGTTAACATTCGGGTCTGTCGACACTATCACACTGCTTCCCAAAATGCTCGTCTTAAACACATTCCCGTACCTGCACATACATATACATATATTAACACTAGAAAACAACATAAAATCATGTTTGGGGTTTATTTATTGTGAGCTAAGAAAAAGAATATATAGACACTTTTTTTTTTTTTTGGAGAGTTAGATTCGGGACAGATTCGAGTATTAAGACTTTAAATTTCTCTTAAAGATAATATTAACGAAGATCTAACACATACTATCACCCTACTTACTGATACCAAGTTATCATCATTTCGTTATTGACACTATTCTTAATTCCCTTCCACAAAGTCCAAGGGACAATGTACTCTAGCTAGTTATAGTTACTGCAGAATCAGGCTTTTTCTGCTCTTAATTACTTCTTTAAATATGTGTGCTCTTCTCTCTCTAGAAGGAGGCTGCAAGTTGAAAGCGTACAAAGGGTACGACCACAAGAGGGATATATTTATTATTGGATCACGAGGGTGTTAATGCTCCGGTTAAGGAGCTCCGTGACATTTTTATCTGCGTTGCTTGAGCCACATTCAATTCAATTTTGCAAGTTATAACAATTTTTTAACTCAAGTGGTTCTTAAGGGGAAAAGGGCGTTTTGGTTATTATGTATCCAATATATCTTTCTCAATTTAAACAAACAAAAACATTGCTATCACAGGCCCTTTATTTTCATACTTAAATCTATCATTTGTACTAAAAGTTTCTCTATTTCTCCAGACCGTGCATATATACTCTATACCCATGTATAGATTTTTTTCTTTTTGTGCTTCCAGTTCAGTATAGTGTGTGGACCACGAGGACAAAATTGTCACAAACACATGCGAATATGGCAAAGGGCCATAGACATTTTAAAAATTGGGCCTTCACAAGGAATAGACTGCTAGAAGAACAAGATATGGCAATGGTGGATAACAAAAACTTAACAGTATATACGCGTGAGTATAATATTATTCCAAATAAGGATTCACATCTCACTAATGTAAATTGACAATTGACATTTTTTGTGAGTGAGGAAAATCACTTGATGTAATGCTTCAACCGTCTAAGTGGAGCAGATAACCGAAAAAAAAGGAAAGAAAGAAAATGGTGTTGGAAAAGCATATTGGGTGAGCATGCATGTCATTAGCACTAGTCGTGGAGAATGGAAAAAGAAAGCAATAATAAGAAGCATTATAAATCGAAATGATTCATGTGTGGTGGGGAATAGGGATATTAGAAGAAGGCTTACAGAGACTTGCGCTTTTCCAAGAAGGTGACAGGGCGAGAGGTGTAGCCAGAAGCAATGAAATCAAGGGTCTCTCCAAGTAAAGGCCAACCAGATTTCCCTTTTGGAATTTTACCCTTTGTCACCTTATTCTTCTTCTTTCCACACAGAAACCACCAACTTGTTAAGAGGATGATGATGCACATCACAACCCATAGACACATAACAAAACATTCCATATCTTGAAAAAACTCCACCTCCCTCTGTATGAATATCTGTTGTGAGTTATGGTACTGAGTACCAACTACCAAGAGTTTTCTGATATCAGTGGTGACTTGTCGGTTTTCACTTCATGCAGCTGTTTTATTGTACTTTGATCACTGTTCTGTGTGGCGTTGTTGTTTTGTTGAAAGAGAAAGAGAGGAAGAGAATCAAGAGAGTGAGAGAGAGGTATATTGAATGTTTGATAAGTCAAGGAAGAAAACTTCTTTTTGTCCTTCCGTTTGGAGAGAGATATAAAAGAGAAATTTATTGAGAAGGGAGATTCTGAAAATCTAGGGCTCAAAAGAATCATTTAATGAGAGTGGCCATATTGGGTTCACCTAATGCGTTTATTTTGTCATCACTCAATTTAGACGGATATTACCTTCGCATGTCCAACACCGCCCATGCCAATGCCACCTTACATGTCCCTCCCATCTTTTATTTTTAATTTTTCTTCCTTTCATGAAAATTTCAAGTTATAGAAACACTAAACCCTTAATTAATTATATCCATAACTAATTAAGTAAAATTATTAATTCAGATCTGTTTTGGTTGCATAAAATTTATTGGGTTCCTTTACATAAAATAGATATCTCAGCTAAATCCACCTGTATCAAGTAAGTAGATAAGCTTAAATAAAAACTTCATCCAACATATTATTCTAATCAAATATCAAAAGCAATTTTTTTTTTTAAAGTCGTGATATATAATGATGGAGATGTCCACTACAAAATGAAGAAAAGCTTGTTCGTGAATAATCTTTGTGCTTAAAACGATATGGCATTTAATGAAAAAGATGTTAGTCACGTCCACCTGCAACCCATTTATTAATTGAAACTGGCGCCTGTATTTCTGGCAATTTCATTTAACATCAATCCATAGAAAATAATATACTAATATAAAAATAAGAAGTAATTTTTTTTTTTTTTATCATTTCTCAAGTCAATCGAGATAATCTTATTTTCAACCATCTCGAAATTATGTTATTTTGGATTTTAAGAAGATTAATAAAGGCTTTAATATTTGACAATGAATGTAAATTAAGTTATCTACATTCACTCTTAAAAGAACGTCATTTCGAGTTGAAAGATTAAAAAAAATAAAATAAAAAGACTATTATAATCCTGAAAGAAATTATAATTACGAAAAAAACTTTGATTTCCGTCTCAAAATGACCATATAAATACTTATCAATATTGACCGCAGAAAAAAAAAATGAACTCATTAATAAATAGTGTATTGGTAAAATTCATATAATAAATAAGGATTTATTTTTTCTGCAGTCAATATAGATAAGTCCAAAACGACGTTGTTTTGGGGCAAAAATAAGATATTTTTGTAATTATAATTTATTTCAGGATAATAATAATCTTTATCATATAATTTTTAATTTTTTAACCCAAAACGACGTTATTTTAGGAGTGAATGTAGATAATTTATATACATTCATTGTAGAAACATTAAAGTAAATAAATAAACAAATAAAAATACAAAAGCACCCTTAATTAATTCTCATAACACCCAAAATAACATAATTTTGGGTGGCAGGAAATAAGAATATCTCAAGTGACTTGAGAAATATTTTTCTAAAAAAAAACATTATATATTATTTTTGGGTTATAAGTTTTTCGAGAAACTTATATTTCTCCAACAAACTCATGAAATTGTGGGACCTATTAAATTAAAAAAAGAGAGCTGAAATGATGTTTTTTTTTATGCAAGAAGGGATGAGTTTCTCCTGCATTTCCTTTTTTTAAAAAAAAAACAAAAGGAAATGTTATTTTACCATTGAATCAACATCTAAAAATAACTTTGAGGTAAATGCAACATTCTGACTTTTTTCTTTCTTTCAAAAGATAGGAATTTTGACTTAAAAAATTATCGTTTTAGTTTCTATCTTTAATTTTTTTTTTTCAAAACTTGCATTCAAATATTCACATAAAATGAAAAATATATTTATTTAAAAAAACTTATTGAATAAAAAAAAGTCATCCAAATAAACTTTAAGATGTCTTACATCTAATCTTAGCATTTATTTGGATGGGCTCTTTTTTATTTATAAGTTATTTCTTAAAAAAGTAAAGTGTTTTTTATTTTATATGTATTTGGATGTAACTTTTGAAAAATAATAAAAGTAAAACTAAGATATAAAGCAAATATTTTTTAGGAAAAACTTCAAAAAAAACCCCTTGAAAGTTTAGTCATAATCACTTATCCCCTCCCCACAAATGTTTATTGCTTTCACATTAAATATAAGGAATCATAATCATATATAAATGTAGAAATAAATATAACCGTTGAATTAACATAATCGATCTAACTATGAAATAAAGTGATAGTATAATAACACTAATTGATAATAACAATATATATCTCATACTTAAATAACAATACGAGAGAAACAAATGAAACCATAGAGAAGGACAAAAGTTCTAACATGTTGGGAATTACAAGATGCAAGAGTTATAAGACATTTGAGGGTCCTGAACTGGAATACGGGAATAATTTCGTTGGCTATTTGCATTGGTCTAGAGTCGTGATTAATTAAGTTTGATATTGCCATAGTCGTGGTAGTTTTGATGGTGGCATTCCTGGTTGCTTGTGATGGAGATGGCTCTGTTGAGAACTTTATTGAGAGGGTATTTTCGGTGGAGCATATGTTCTATTTTCTTTCACTAATGAGTGATTTCATGTGTGGTGTGGATATTCTAATCAAGGTCTTGTTTGCATAAAATGAAACGTTTGTTTCACAAGGCTCACTTGAGACCCAAGAAGGAGATTTAGGTGTTTCTGTGTGGGGAGAAATCATATATTCACTGAATGAATGATAGAAAGAGAAATAATCGATAATAATCGACGAATCAAGTCGATAAAACCATGGCATCGATTATCATAGATTTTCGAATTGCGCTAGAGTGTGAGTATCGAGGAGAGGGATGTGCATGATACGGCGCAGTCGAAGAATGAATTTATAAAGAAATAGGGTTAGTAAAAATAAATGTTATAAAATATTATTTTAAAAAAATATTATATTTACAAATTTTTTATTTACAAATCCAATTATATATCCTGAAAAATATACACTTAGATCGAACTAACTATGTAAAATATTTTTAATACTTCCATTGTACCGAGTACTTGATGGCCGGTGCATAATTTATCAAATATGACAAAAAGTAATAGTTTTATACAATCATCACCTCTATGATTATTTTCATCGGAATCCACATTTTTTCTTTTTTGCAAAAAAATATATACTCCTACCGTATCCAAAATAAGCTCCCAACCATAGTACGAGATTTGGGTGCAATAGAGTGAGTTTATAAGTTTTTTTTTGTCGTATTTTTTATTCGATAGGTGAAAGGCTAATTTCTAAGAGGCAATGAAGACCTTTAAACGATAATTTTTCATGTTCATAAATTTAAAAATCAAATTCAGTATCATTTCGAATCTACTTTGAAAAATTCTCACTCTTATGCAAATTATATTTGATTTGCGTAATTGTCTGTTGCAGATGACCATTATTTTCGTTTCTTTTCCGGTAAAAATCATTGTTTATATTATCTTTGTATAAACAAATTCATTATTGAGAAAACTTTTAGTACAACAGCGGTAGGTACATTCATATTAGAAGGATACTTTTTTTTGAATTTAAAAGAAAACATGGATAAAGATAAAAAATAAATTTTATTTTTTAATAAAAAAGAATACGAGTTCGATACTTTCTTAGCACTAAAATTTTTTCCTTCGTTCCTTTGTTTTCACATCTTAATTTTTATTTTATTTTTAATTCATCTTAATATTTAACTAGTCAAAAGAGCTACTATATGTAGACTGTACACAACTAGTTTATTATGGTTTGGATGGAGAGTGTAAACAGGAGTTTAAAGGACGTAAAAAAGGAGTTGCAATGAAACGTCTAATCGCATATCAGTTTGTGCTGGCCTCAGTTTTCTGGCAGATGCACATTATCACAGCGTGAGAAAAGAATAATGCTTTTACTTTGTATCTCATATCTTTCGTATGTCAGAATTAAAGCATAAATATGCGTTTACCGGGAAAAAAAGAAGTATAAATATGAGAAAAAATTACTACATTTAAATTATAAAATTGATTAAATATAAAGTGATATAACATTTTAATTTATGTTAGGAAAATATGGAGAGCCAGAAAGACAACCTCGGGGTTGAGGGTGTCTCTGCCTAGTGCCTATTATGAGGCACGTGCACGTGACAGAAACCTTATGGTCCATAGAAGGAAGGGTACCGAACTGGTTAGAGTCTTTTCCTTCTTCACTTTTTCATTATGGGTTTATTTATGCTTTCGTCTAGTCTGCATCGTTCCTCAGTACTACAGTCTTCACTCCACACACTCTCCTTGTTTCTATCTCTCTCGCTTTCTTTATGCACAATATATATATATATATAATATATAAAACTGTTTTTGTTGCGTTCTTTTTAAGACTACTGACTCAACGACATGAATTTTGAAATGCTTTCTTTTTCCACATCTTCTGAAAGCTGAAGGCTTCGAATCCATGGTTACCATATGCCTTGGTTGCGCCAGAACTAGCGAGCAAAAATAAAAGTGGTCCGTTTTTTGCATGTGAATCAACGGTGGAAGGGTTTGCGCAGTCCACGAGAGGACCAGTGTTGTGTTTGACTGTGCTTTTACCAACGGTTTTCAATGCCACTGCCAGTGCAGCATGGACCATATAGTTCATGTAATTTGATCATGGTCGTGAGTGCAGTCAATGGCATAGACTCAACTTTGACACATTATTATCATTCCCAAATGATATTCCAATTACTACGTGATGTTTGGTCATCATTTCAAGGTCGGGGTACACCCAAAAGGATAAACACATGAAATAGTAAAAATTGTTAAAAGAGAGACTCGTCATGTGTTAATAGGTATAACATATAGGCATACTACATTGTGGTTAAATGCATTTTACGCCTTTCAAAGAGTATGGTGGAATTAAACGAAAACATAAAATATGAAAAATGAAAAAGTGGCTGCCAATGACGTTATTCCTTGTTCTAGCAATTGCCTCCGGAGGCTAGAGAGAGCAATAGAAAAACTACTAAATTCGATAATTTGATGAATGGTCATATTAGACTGGGAGGACATATGAAGTTATATTTAAACTAGAAATGAGTGGGCCAAAGGCCACATTCTTCCGTATGCTTCATCAATGTTCTCTTGTCAACCAATGTTAAAAGGCAAAGATTACTGCAATCATCCCTTAGGATAATTTGATTTGATGTTGCATCGCAGGTTGCCAATGAGATTCTCAGTGGTCTATATTGTGTAGTTTAATGGAGACTCGAAAACCCTTTTCATGAAAAGAGAAGATTAACAGAGGATGCAAATTTGATCTAGCTGACATGTCGCAAGTAAATGCACAATCTCACTCCCATGCAGTGATTCCCCCTATAAATATAAAATGCGTTGTGTAGTCAACGAAACAAGGGAAAAGCAAAATATAATGACTTTATCCAAAAATTGCCATGAAAAACTGTTAATGCTGCAAGGTTTTACATGCTGCATGCAACAGCTTCTCTATCCATATTCTTGTAAAATGAACTGAGTTTCGTTATAGCAAGTGCTTCGCCAAAGAGTGATGCCCTTGTAGATCTTGATATGCGGACTTCAACAAAATCACCAACCACAGGATTTCGCTTTGTATTAACATCTTCCCTATCTGGGATTGGAAGATTGACAAATAACACTCGATGGCCCTTGTCACTCTTGCCAATAAGCTCAGTATCTGGAGCTCTCCTATTGGGCCCTTCAACTAATACAAGCTGTATAGTTCCAATCTGAGAGTCATAACACTTTCCTGTGCTCTCACGGAAAGCCTCAATAAGTTCACTTAGTCTCCTCTGCTTTATTTCCTCAGGAACATCATCAACATAATTTCTGTGGGCATGTGTTTTCTCCCTCATGCTATAAGCAAACATGTATGCCATATCATAAACAACAGCTTTTATGAGAGTCAACGTGTCAGCATGATCCTCCTCTGTTTCTCCACAAAACCCTGTTAGAATTGCCAATATTACAAGACCGCAATCAGAGGCTAATTGCTTATATAGTAAAATACTAGTGTGGCAAAGAAAAACTACAAGGTAGAAAGTTTTGGGTACCATATCTACATAGTTAAACTACCAATGAGCTTATACACCTTCAGTTCTTCCAACAAAATAAATATGTTGCCTCATATGGTATATCAATACTGGTATACTATTCCTCAATAACAAGCAAAAAATTTGATGATGATGCTTGCAAATAAAGATTTTATTTACCCCTTCGACAGACATCTCTTAAGCACAAGGGAAACTCTACTATTTTGATGTGAAAAATTATGGAAAAGGTTCTCAATAATTTCAGAAATGCAAAATTTACACCCCTAAAAGATGTAGGCCAGATGGATTCATAAAAAAGTGAGCAAATTGAGTATTCTGAAGCTGAATCATAGTTATCAAATGCGGACTGCGGTATGTTGCGGCCAACCCCAAAAAACGCTATAGCGATATAGCGGGTTGCGGTTGCGGAAATAGCGGAATAGATATATGACAGGAATAATGACAAAAAGAAACATTTTTTAAAGGCAGAAATAGTAGAAGTGACATAGAGAGACGCAGATAGACTAAAAAACCCTTAAATTTTTTCGTTACACATTTAAATTTAGGACAAAGTTGACATTTTGCCTTATGATAGCAATATGGCTGCAAATGCGATGGCAATGGCCGCTATTGCGTTCCTGTGTGGCGCGACGCGGTTTCTTGCGGCGAGGCACCGCAATGCCCATACGGCGCGGCTCGCGGTGCTATTGCGGCGCAATTAACTACTATGAGCTGAATAACTTAGAAAATTAGAACTCCAGATTCCTTTAGAATAAAAGGTCACTAGATACCAAATGGTGATAGCTTAGCTGGTAGCAAGGAAGATGAATAGTTGAAAGGAAAGGGCTTTGATTCGATCCTCACATGCCACATTTGGAAGGGGCTTAAATATCTTCATCCCTGACCCGCCCCGCACTCCAGATTAGTCCCATAGCCGGCTCAAAGAGCCGAAGCTTGTGGGGATACCGGGGGAAGCCAACTCGCTTCAAAGAGATAATTAGTGTTGGGTAACTCAAAAAAAAAAAAAAGGTCACTAGATTAAACATGATTATAAAATGAAAGAAACTATAAATGTGAAACCCCATCAATCATCAGTTCAGATTAAGATGCTCCAACTGTACAAGGTCAGATTAATGAATAGCGAGGGAAAGAATAAAAGATAGGGAGAAAGAAACTTAAAGAGCATATTACCACAAATGAAATCACTACTTAAGGCCACATCTGGAATAACACTTCGAATTTTTTGCACAAGAGCCAAGTAAGCCTCTCGAGTATATCCTCGTCTCATTCTCTCAAGCACTGTGCTACTTCCTGTTTGTGCAGGTAAATGTATTAATTTGCATATATTATGTCTTTCCAGCATTAGATAAAGCAATTCGTCTGGAAAGTCTTTAGGGTGTGGAGACGTGAATCTGAATCGCATATCAGGAAATTCTGAGGAGAGTCGATCCAACAGATCAGAAAACCTTAAGCCCATTTTTTTGACCTTAGACATGCTCGAAAATCCTTCACTAAATTTCCAGTTGGACCCTGATTCAACCTCTTTCTCAATCCCAAGCGCATCATTGTAGCTGTTCACATTCTGGCCTAGAAGCGTTACTTCTTTCACACCTTCTTTCCAAAGCTCTGCCACCTCTCTCACAATGGATTCCACAGGACGCGATCGCTCTCTGCCTCTGGTGAAAGGCACAATACAAAATGAGCACATATTGTTGCAACCCCTCATCACGGAGACAAAAGCAGTAACTGAGTTCTTGGAGATTCGAACTGGATTAATATCAGCATAAGTCTCCTCAAGTGAAAGAAGAGTATTGATCCCTTTCTGGCCATAGTCAACCTCTTCCAGCAATCGCGGTAAATCCCTATAAGCATCAGGCCCGCAGACCACATCAACCATTTTGTCAGCATCAAGTATCTTTTCCTTTAACCTCTCAGCCATACATCCCAAAACAACTACTTTTGGAGGGCGCAGGGACTGCGACCTTCCAGTTGCAAAATTGCTCTTCCAATGCCTCTTAAGAAACCAAAAGTAATTAAGCCTCTGCCATACTTTCTGTTCTGCATTTTCTCTGATAGCACAAGTATTGATGAATATTATTTCTGCACTCTCAGGAACGCTCACAACTTCACTGTATCCAGCATTTTTCATTATAGACAGGACAATCTCCATATCATTAACATTCATTTGACATCCATAAGTCTCATGATATATACGATCAGTGGAAGGAACTTTGGTATCTGGTACAATCCTACTCAGAGAAATAAATAAATACATCAATAAAGAGTAAAGAGATTTATTCCTAATCAATCCTATTTAAAATTTGCTATTACGCAAAGATGAAATACTCACGAGGGCATATAAATTTTGCTGAAAGAAAAAACGAATGATTTTTTTTTTTTTTCTTGAAATTTCTTCACATAACCACAAGGCAAAAAAATTCTCTCTACCAAGTTTTTAACATAACTACTTGCTCAAGACTCAAAATCGAGACCACCGGTTAAGACGCTAATTTTCTCATGAACATTCTCATTCATATCATTTTCCCAAAAGTCATGAATAATAATATCTAAAGATGAAAAGGGAAAAAAAAAGTCCTCTTTTCATTTAATTCATAGAAACTGAAGTAAATCACAAATACCCACAAAGCGAAAGAAAAGAAAAGTAAACAAAGAATCAATTTTTGGAGGCCATTTAATACGAGAACCATGTAGTAAAAAAAACCCAAAAAAGAGAAGACATGGGGTGTTTGCAATAACTCACTGGGGTTGAGCTTCGGAAGCGGTAAGAGTAGCTTGAGCAATGAAGTGATGGAGAGTGGGACCCTCCAATTTGTTGGAATAAGAGAAGCTTCTGGAGCTGGTGATGAGATTGAGTGGGCGTGGCGATAAGCTAGAGGCTCGATTGCCATATGTGTGTGGAAAAGAAGCATTGGGTAGGTGATGATGTTGGTGGTGTTTGTATTTGTGGTTGAAGATTCTGAGAGTAACAGAAGATGAACGATGAAGCTTAAGGCGCTGAACAGCGTGAGGTTGGTTGATAATGGAAGACAGCGACGACGCCATCTCAAATTCTCACTGAAACACAAACACACTCACACGGTTATCTGGTGGAGGGGATAGCGTCCGTGCGGTCACATTAACATTCATAAACGCAACAGTTTCTCGTCGTATATGGCCAAACGACATCTAATTCCTCATCTCACCCTAGTAATAGTATCGTTCTTTTCCAAAAAAATAAAGTATATTTCATTTATAATTTATATCAAATTATAATAAATTACATCGTCCTTAAAAGAATATATTATATTTTTTTTTTTCTATTTCAACCAAAAAAAATTATAATATTTTTTTTTAGGAATATCTAATTTATTTTATTTTTAAAAAAATATATGCTATCTTTTATTTTCTTTTTAAAAAAATGTAAATTATTCTAAAATTATTTAATATAGATTTTTAAAATCTTAACTAAATTAATTATATATTTTTGTAATAATTTTAAATATTTTTATAATTTTTCTTGGTAAATATTTAGGGTATTTGGTTTGCTTTTCAGCATGTTTTTTCTTATTAAATTAAAAAAAAAATGTCAACTTATTTTGATTTTATATTTTGGTTTTGCAATTTTGTGAAAAAAATGAAAAACTAAATATAATTAAATATGAAAGAATAAATACAAGGCGACATCTTTTAAGAATTAATAAAAGTATAATGATTGAAGATGAAAACAAAAATTAAGGACTGTTTGGAATTTTATTTATTTATTAAAATTGTTAGTTATATTTTGTTAACATGATAGGCTAGAGAATTTTTTTGGATTAACAACTTTTAATAACAAAAGATTTGTTTCAAAGAACTTTATTTTGTTCATCTCCTAAAATCTCCATCCCCTGGAAAAGAAAAAGGTTTAGGCTATGCAGACCACTAGGCTTAGGCTAGATTGCTAAACGCTTCTAGTTTCTTAGGAAAACCACCACCAGAATAGGGTGAAAGTCTTGCCACAATAAGCAATCCCTGGAGTGGATAGGGAGAGGCCGTTAAATGGTGAAATCCTAAGCAAAAGAGCAGATTAATCATGTTTGTGTTATCTTTTACAAATTCAATTTTGATGAATGAGACTATAAGGCCGTTAAATGGTTTTTTGAGTGATGTACTCACCCCTTTTGGGGTTGCCATTGCAGGTAACAAAGAAGACAGAGGAAAAGCCATTATTCAAATCACTGAGAAAAAATGACAGCCTTATTCTAAAGGAATTGATTAGTTGAAAGATCTTCCAGATGTTGCTAACTGAATGTTAACTTATGATTGTGCATTTTGATGTTGTTAATGGACTCTTGTAAATATGTCTAGATATTTTCCTTGTGGGAAGTAGTGTGGACCTGATAATGAGCCAATATTTATGTCTTTTGTAATGAATAATAGCTAGAGCAGTAATAGTTTGATGGATAAAGACCGAGTATTTTTTAAAGCTAAAGTGATGCATGTACATGTTGAGTTATACGTTGTTGTATGAAGACACTATGTGGCTGTAATTGTGTGCATATCTTAATGTTAGGTTGACTTCTCATATCATGTGATGATATAGTATGTTGATGATCTAGCTAAATTGGTTTACTGCCATATACATGAAAACCTCTTAGGTGAGAAAGTGAATTGTGATGCTATGCATGTGTTCTAGATGTACACCTTAAATCCATTAGTTGGGTCTAATTTCTTAAAGCTCACATTTAAAACTTTCTAGAGGGCACTCATGATAAGTCATAGAGGCTCACCATTAGGACATCTTCCTATCCCTGCACTGTACATTGACAATGGGCAGCATGTCTTGTCTCGTGACAAGACATGACTTGAGGAGACAACTTATGAGGCTGACCAACGGTCTTCCCCATGCTAGAGAGGGCTCTCCTCTCTAAATACCCTCTCACATATGGAGGGGGATCTTCTTCCCCACTCCTCTCATATGCTGTTACTCTGTCTCTATACAGAGCCATTCAAGCCTCACACACACTCTTCCTTGATGCACATACATGGAAAGCTTCACTAGTGCTTTGGTCTCTTCCACTGCCACTATAGACACTTCCTATATCAACATACTTCACCCTCCATGGGACATATCTTATGTATCACTATCGGTACAACATGTATCTGTTTTGGGCAAAAATTAAGGGTGAACTTAGAAAATTCATAACTCCTTCAATTCTTAACTAAATTATACAAACAAAATATCATCGTAAAGCCCCAAATGCCCTAAATCTCATAATTTTGTGGGCAGCGAATCACTCCCAATTTTCCTAAAATCGAGGCTGCCCAAGGAATCGAATTCCTACTTTTCTGAATTGAGAGACAACTTAAAGTACCTATAACTTGGATTTTTTTAATATAAATTGGGTGCACAAGTTTTTAGGTGCAGCTTTTTCCAAAAAAGAAAAAATTTCTTCCACTTAAATCCCTCTCTTCTTTTCAAATTTCTCCTCCGTTTTTTTTTTTTTTTTTTCCATTTTAGGACAAAGACTTTGAAGTCCCGGTCCACATAAAATGAGCTCCTATAACTCAATCAAATCTGAACCAAAGATAGCCTACGAAAGCCTACGAGGTATCATTTTAAAGCTATACGTGTCTAGTTTTAGATGCTAAAATATCTTGATTTATGGGTAAACAAGTACTACTCAAGTTAGTCTTCATGCTTGTCAATCTTAGACCAGTTTTTATAAAATTCATATCTTTCTCATTCCTCATCTAAATGGCTCATGTAATATATCAATTTAGAGCCCCGTAAGTCTAGTTTTACATGTTGAAATCTCAGAATTTATGGACATCGGATTATTTGCACACTAACCGCTTCTATTTTCTTCAGGTTGTCACCGTAATTAGCAATGGTTAGAATGCTCATTCATCTAGGAGCTGTTTATTGACTTAATAATATCACACAGTTAATTAGTGTTAGTAGTTGTCTCGCTCTTTACAAGGCAAGATTTCTTCTTGTTGTAAATATTGTCATATGTTTTGATTGCGCTGTCACGATACATTGAGGGTAACGTGGTAAATGACAAAAAAAGAGCATAGGGCTAATCGTTTTAAAGGCAAACTACTTTTCCCTCTCTTTTTTTCAATCATTATACATTGGGAACAATAGGGAGAAAATTCAAGTTGATTGCAACCACCAACAGAAACTGAAGCTGAAAAATGTTGAATCAGAATAGCAGAGCTACACTTCGCTTGCTCACACGCCCCTTCAACCCATTCTTCTACCCCCGAAGGAACACAGCTCTTCTCCCTTCTGCAATGCCGTCTTCTGATTTTACTGTGGGGACAGGTTTTGATGAAAACTGCAGACAGTTACAGCTCAACATAGTTCGTGGGGAGTATAAAGATTTGTCTTTTTTCAATCAATTAAGAAATTTCTTGAAAACTAAACAACTGGGTGTTGGAATTCCGAGTGGAATTCAACATAAATGTTATAGTTCAATGGCTGGGTTGGTTGAAAGGAACCCCAGATTCTCAAAGTTGAATGATGATGATGTTAGATACTTCGAGGGGATATTGGGTAGCAAAAGTGTCATACATGATGAGGAAAAGCTCATCCCCGCAAACACTGATTGGATGCATAAATACAAAGGCTTTAGTAAGCTCTTGCTACAACCACGGAGCACTGACCAGGTTCTTTTATTTATTTATTTGCTTTTATTGAATTGAATGAACAATTACCCTTTAGAACTTTGGTTCAGTGAAATATTTAGAAATTGGCTTTGTCCTGTGTTTTATTTGTTTAATTGATTTTTTCCCCCAACTATTTCCCTTTTGCAGGTTTCTCAGATTCTTAAATACTGTAACTCCAGATGTCTGGCTGTTGTTCCCCAAGGTGGAAACACTGGTCTTGTAGGCGGAAGCGTACCTGTCTTTGATGAAGTATAGTGTATACCCTTTCATTCGTTCTCTTACATT